TGGGACTGGGGGGGCTGGGACCTCCCATTCCAAGGGATTCCATGGAATTGGCTGGGACTGGGGGGCTGGGACTCTGGGAATGACCTCCCCTTTGTTCCCCCTGTCCCATTTGGGACACAGACACTGGATCACCCCCAATGACCCCACAAGTGACCCCCCTGTGTCCCCCCTGTCCCATTTGGGGCACAGACTGTGAATGACCCCCTTTTTTCCCCCCTTTCCTTCCCAGCTGACCTGTCCCTGGACCCCGACACGGCCAACCCCTACCTGGTGCTGTGGTGGGACAGTGACCCCACAAGTGACCCCCCTGTGTCCTCCCTGTCCCATTTGGGGCACAGACTGTGAATGACCCCCTTTTTTCCCCCCTCCTTTCCCAGCTGATCTCTCCCTGGACCCCGACACGGCCAACCCCTACCTGGTGCTGTGGTGGGACAGTGACCCCACAAGTGACCCCACAAGTGACCCCCCTGTGTCCTCCCCATCCCATTTGGGGCACAGCCACTGAATCACCCCTTTTCCCCCCTCCTTTCCCAGCCAACCTGTCCCTGGACCCCGACACGGCCAACCCCTACCTGGTGCTGTCGGAGGACAGTGACCCCACAAGTGACCCCACAAGTGACCCACCTGCATCCTCCCCATCCCATTTGGGGCACAGACTGTGAATGACCCCCTTTCTCTCCCCCTCCTTTCCCAGCCGACCTGTCCCTGGACCCTGACACGGCCAACCCCTACCTGGTGCTGTCGGAGGACAGTGACCCCAAAAGTGACCCCCCTGTTGGGTTTGGGGCACAGCCACTGAATCACCCCCTTTTCTCCCCCCTCTCTTCCCAGCCGATCTCTCCCTGGACCCCGACACGGCCAACCCCTACCTGGTGCTGTCGGAGGACAGTGACCCCACAAGTGACCCCAAAAGTGACCCCCCTGTCCCATTTGGGGCACAGACTGTGAATGACCCCCTTTTTTCCCCCCTCCTTTCCCAGCTGACCTGTCCCTGGACCCCGACACGGCCAACCCCTACCTGGTGCTGTGGTGGAACGGTGACCCCACAAGTGACCCCACAAGTGACCCCCCTGTCCCATTTGGGACACAGCCACTGAATGACCCCTTTCTCCCCTCCTTTCCCAGCCGACCTGTCCCTGGACCCCGACACGGCCAACCCCTACCTGGTGCTGTGGTGGGACAGTGACCCCACAAGTGACCCCACAAGTGACCCACCTGCATCTTCCCCATCCCATTTGAGACACAGCCACTGAATGACCCCCTTTTTTTCCCCCTCCTTTCCCAGCTGATCTCTCCCTGGACCCCGACACGGCCAACCCCTACCTGGTGCTGTCGGAGGACAGTGACCCCACAAGTGACCCCACAAGTGACCCCACAAGTGGCCCCACAAGTGACCCTCCTGTTGGGTTTGGGGCACAGACTGAATCACCCCTTTCTCCCCCCTCCTTTCCCAGCTGACCTGTCCCTGGACCCCGACACGGCCAACCCCTACCTGGTGCTGTGGTGGGACAGTGACCCCACAAGTGACCCCCCTGTCCCATTTGGGACACAGACTCTAAATCACCCCTTTTTCCCCTCCTTTCCCAGCCGACCTGTCCCTGGACCCCGACACGGCCAACCCCTACCTGGTGCTGTCGGAGGACAAGCGCAGCGTCCGCCTGCGCGGGGCCCCCCAGGAGCTGCCGGCGCACCCCAAGCGCTTCGACTACGCCTTCTGCGTCCTGGCCTGCGAGGGCTTCCAGGCGGGGCGGCACTACTGGGAGGTGGAGGTGGGCGACGGCGAGAGCTGGGTGCTGGGGGCCGCCCGCGAGTCCGTGCGGCGCAAGGAGAAGGTCGACTTCGCCCCCGAGGAGGGGATCTGGGCGGTGGGGCTCAACTGGAAGGGCAAGAATTGGGATCAGTACCAGGCGTTCACCTCGCCCGAGACGCCGCTGTCGCTGTGCGAGCGGCCCCGCAAGGTGGGCGTGTACCTGGACTACGAGGGCGGCTGGGTGGCCTTCTACAACGCCGACACCATGGCGCCCATCTTCACCTTCACCGCCGCCTTCTCCGAGAGGATCTTCCCCTTCTTCTGGCTCTTCTACGTCGGCTCCTCGCTGTCCCTCTGCAACTGAGGCGCTGCCGCCCGCCCGAGCTGCCACCGCCACTCCTCCTCTCCTCCCTCTCCTCCTCCTCCTCCTCTCCTCC